GATGATAATCTGTGTTTACTGGAACGAGAGGCACAAAATATAAAGCGAAGCAAAGAGAGAAGGGAAAAAGTTGGAGGAAATTACAAGGGAAGGAGGACAAACGACGGTTCGGCGAAATTTACTTGAGCTAAAAATTGATAATGTTTTTACGAGTAAAATCTTTCCTTTTATTTGTGTTTTTTGCCTTCAAAAGTCTCAGTATCACACGAAACCGAGTTTTTTTTTTATTTCCGCCACTAATAAATTCCTAAGACTTTACAGGTAATTTATCATCTTCTTTTTTTATTTCTATTTAAAAGAGATTTTAGTTGAGATTTTTTTTTTTTTCTACAAAATGTTTATCCTATTAGAGTTTACACCTTATCTTTTTAAACAAAAATATATTTCTGCATTCACAATTGATTTTATCACTAACAATTAATTAGTAATCTTAGTTTTATTTAAGAAAAGAATGTAATTTTGAATGAATTTACTTAGTTAATTAAAAATAAAATTAATTTATAGTAATATGTCAATGATATTCATATTTCATAACATTTTTTTTATAAAGAAAACAGATACTATAATGCAAGTGATTATCAATATGTGGATCTATTTAAAAAGAAAATCTCGTATTTTTCTATTCATTTTGTGGTTTTAGATTGTTGTATTCTTCCATAGTTATCAACATTACTAGAAAATGAAAAAACATAACGTAAATCTTTATATTATTTTGTATATTTATATATTTTCAGTAAAATTAGTTTATTTGAACTGGGAAAATACAATTGCTAGTATTTTATAGAAACAAAATCAAGGTGAATATATATATCCCTCACATTGCTTGCATATTTGACTGACCAAACCTAAATGGACTTGACCTCCCTATTCTCTTTCCAGGCCCATGTTACTTTTCTTGGGCCTCGTTACTCATCATTTTCTCAGCAATTTCACACACACAAAAAACATAGTTCTATTTGTCCCAAGTTCCACTTCTTGATGAGATCAAGGCAACAGAAGAAGATAATTATCCACAAAATAAAAACCCTAGCCCTTGTGAACATATCAAAACGTTAAGCTTGGCTCAATTTCGTATAGCACAAGGAACTCAATTCAAAAGTAAGACCAATCCAAGTTAATATCCATCATTCGCTGTACATTCCTTGTCCAACGATTAAAAACTCCAACACTTCCACTATTTACCTGAGCACAACATCACTAAACTTACCCCCCCCCCCCAATTCACCTCTTATATATCAGCCGAAGAAGTAAAAAAAAACAAACATTTACTGCTCCTTTTCTACTAAAAAAACCCGCAAAAGCGGATCGTTTTGAATTTTTAGCTTCTTGAACCTGCTGATCTGTACTTGTAACGCATTGCCCAGAAGAGATAGTGCAAGAAGTTAGCTGCACTTAGAACACACATTAGCCAATAGAAGTAGTCTAGTTTGTAACTGTTTATGTGTCTTCCTTTGAGCCAAGGTGTATTCCCTGAACTCCCTGTTATGCTGTTCACTATCGAAACGATCACCGAGCTTAGGTAATACCCCATTGCCAAGGAAGCCCACGAGAGCGACGTCGCTAGTGATCTCATAGAGGACGGTGCTTCTGTGAAGAAAAACTCTAGTAATCCAGCTAGTGTGAACAGATCAGCTGAACCTAGGAATAGATACTGAAGTGCGATCCATAGGAAAGTTGCGGGTAAGGTTTCTTGTGATTCAAGCAAACCCTTGTCTTTCGCCACTCCCTTTCGTTTAATCTCAACGAGAGCTGCAACCGCCATTGCCAATATCGAAAGAACTAAACCTACTCCGATTCTTTGTAGATGAGTGATTCCCATTTCGGTTTTGGTTGCTTTTCTAGCGAATGGGATGATGAGATGGTCATAGATAGGTGCTAGGATCATGATGAAAACGACGGGGAAGACCGGTAACGAAGCTGGAGGAATCTTTAGGTTTCCGATTTTTGTGTTCATCGAAGCAGCTTGTTGGACCGAGAATGTAGAGAGTTGAGCTAAGCAGCAATTAAGCATGATAGTGCAAGCAAATATCGGAAGCATTTTGAGCACAACTTTCACATCCTCGACTTGTTGGACCGTACATTCTAACAATCTATGGATGGGTCTCTCCTCCACAGCTCTGTTTAAGCATCTCAAACTGTTGGTTAGTTCTGCCTTAGGAGGCACGGATTCTTGAGGAGGCAGCTTTTCGAGTTCTCCTTCTGATTTAACAACTTCTTCTTTTTTCCCCTTCGGTACGCAATGATTAGAAGGACTAATAGCCAAATTCACAACCGCATTGCTTGAACTTCCACTCGCGCAACACTTAGCCGAAGCAGCAAGAAGGACCTGAATCAAACAAATCATATAAATTACTTAAGGCACACGTTTCTCAATCTCAAAACTTAATAATTAAAGAGATCAAAACAAACCTTCAAGATTGTAGTTAGAGGACTTCCACAAGGGATCTTGTTCCTATAAAAGCTTGAACCAGAGAGAAAGATGAGAATCGAGACGAAGATTGCAATGGTAGAAACACCAAATCCCCATTTCCATCCTTTGTTGTCTTCTAACCAAACCACAAACGTAACGGCCACGAGTGCTCCACAAGCAAGACAGAACACGAAGTAGTTGAAGAACGTTGACCTCTGTTTCCGACCTTTAGGTGTACTCTCATCGAATTGCTCTGCTCCGTGAGATGGTAATGACCCTTTGATCCCTCCAACTCCTAGAGCCACAAGGTACAATCCCACAAACAGCATTGCCGCCTTTGATCCACTCACTGATTCACACGTCGGACCATCGCACGATGGTGGCATTAAGGACGGTGTACGAGCTTGGATTGTGAGTATGATCAATCCCTGCACGTGAACCAAATCACATTTTAATCACTATTGGCTAAATTGGATTTGTTGAAATCCTTGGAGACGTACGTTTTTTTTTAATTAAATAGCCAATTTTTTTATTTACAAAATAACTAGGTGCTTCTCCCGCGTACACGCGAATAAATTATTTATGTAGTTCTATTTTTAATTTTAGCCTTTAAAATGTGAAATATGAGTTGTTTTTATTTTTATTATAGACATTGTTGTTGATTCTTTTGTTGTTAATTTTTTTTTTGTCAATAATATAGTTTTTTATTAATATCATGAATTTCAGAAATTAAGTTTTACCATTTAATTATTTTATATATGTAAACGCATCAAATCGAAATGTATAATAATTTAATACATTAGAGTTTTAAAAAAACATGTCAAATTCGGCTTAAGTAGAATTTAGAATACAAATAAATTATTTAATATGTTAAAACATTAAAATATATAATCCTAAATTTTTTAAATGAAAGACAGATTAAAAAAAATGTTGCTTTCGAATTAAAAAAAAATATTTTTATTACTTTCAAATTGTCTTGCGTTAAAAAAAAAAATCAAATGAATAATTATATTTGTTGTTATGAACTTGAGAAGTTTTTTTCACAAACATATCAAAATCTCTTTTAAAATTTGGTACGTCTTTATTATTATTTTCAAAAAGAATATATCTATAAAATGTTCTATAATTTTATTATTACAATAATCAATTTGTAAACTACTTTTAAATAAAAACCAAATTTATATATAATTTTATAATAAAAACTAAAATCTAGTAATATATTGATTAAATATTCTTTTGAATTATTTTTGGTAACAATTATAAATTTAGTTGTAAAAATTTTGTTATTGATTCAAAATTGTCATGTCACAATTGTTTTAGTGAGATGACACATAAACTTCTTCTCACAAATCACTCTCCAATTAATATATAAGGGATGGATGACATAATCATAAATAAGCTATTTCATTTATCACACTCAACAAATAATAACACGCTATTTGTATGATATCACGCTATTTGTTTAAATCACACACAAAAAACATGTATATCACTTATTTATAGTTTGGTTACTACTATACTAGCTTTTGTCCCGCGTCAAGCGTAG